GCTGTAGCGGGGGGAAAGTGTAGGGGGGGGTGCAGGTTCTTTGGAGCTTTCCCTTTGTACAATTAGAAGAGAACTCAGAAGCTCCATCAGAACCGTTCCAGCCTCATCCACAAGCCCGGACAGCGGCGCTGCATCCGACAACCAATAACCCTCCGAAGCCAACGTAAGATTAATGCAAGCCTGATGGAAAGCTTCACCTGTGTAAAGTGGACCTGTCATTACATACGCATGTTAAGTAATGTATCCGTGCAAGCCTTCAGGGTATGTATTCCCTCTCACAGAGATCACTGACAATGCCTTCATCTGCTTTTCTCTCCTGAAGGACGGCGCCATCTCTGTTCAGGCATCATCCGGGGGTCACCATCTCCTTCCTGGACTGAGACGTCGGCTCAGAGATGACACAATCCTGTAAGGCCCCATTCACACTAAGCGACACTTACCTCCAGCGACGATCGCGCGACCTTCACCGCCGGGGCTACATGCAAAAATAGAAAAATCGCGCGACCTCTTCAGGGAAAAAGGGTCCCACACAAGCGACAGCGACGAGTGACATGGAGCTGTTCAGTAGAAGAGCTCTATTGAATATCATTGGACGGCGACTTCTCGCGATATCGCACGGCAAATTTGCACGAAATCGCGCGATTAAACGCCCAGTGTGAATGGGCACTTAATCCCGGTGTCTGTGCAGTTCTTGGCTGTGTTTACAAATGTCTGACACAGATCAGCTCCCTGCTGCAGCCTCTCACCTTGTGACTGGATATAAAGTTACAATGTTGCAGTCTGATCTGATGGGGGGAGGGGAGACTGAGGGAATGCTCCCTCCTGCCTGCAGCAGAATGATCACTGGGGGGAGGGGAGACTGAGGGAATGCTTCCTCCTGCCTGCAGCAGACTGACCACTGCGAGAGGGGAGACTGAGGGAATGCTTCCTCCTGCCTGCAGCAGAATGATCACTGGGGGAGGGGAGACTGAGGGAATGCTTCCTCCTGCCTGCAGCAGACTGACCACTGCGAGAGGGGAGACTGAGGGAATGCTTCCTCCTGCCTGCAGCAGACTGATCCCTGGGGGAGGGGAGACTGAAGAAATGCTTCCTCCTGCCTGCAGCAGACTGATCCCTGGGA